TCTCCTCCCAGTCATCAACAATGTTGTTGTCTTCTGCACCCTTCTCGCCTGCTACAGTTTCCTCAGTAGTCTTTCTAATGGAACAGGTATCTTTAGGTGGTTCTGTGATGAGGTAGGTTAATCTCATCACTTGAATCAACTGAGACATTTGTGTCCTCCATATAAGATAATTCGTTGGCTTAAGTTTAATGGAGCACGACGAAATAAGATGATGAAGTAAAGAGGTCGAAAGAGTGTTGGTAGAAGGGGCCATTGCGGTTTGATTTTGTGGTTGTTTTGATTTTGATTTAATACGTTAAAGAGCAGAAAAGCTTTATTGCTGTGATACCATGTAGAAATCTCACGTCTAGGATTAGAGAAATCAAGGATTGTATTGATGATTATAATATTGAGTTACAAGCTCCTTATATAAGAGAAGAGTCCTATTCTAGTTATACTAGGAAACCTACTACAGCACATTTATTTACATGAGTAGTATTGTATTATAACTCAAATACCTTATCCTAGTCGACTCCTGCAATATACAGTAGCTTAGTTGTACATAACTTAGGATTTAGTAGTCTAGTCCTAGTATGACTCTAACTCTAACTCGTCAGCCTGCTTCAATGGACTTGTTCCTTTGACATGTTCCATCAGTCTTCAAGCTTCCTTCAACATGTATATGTATATGTTCTTTGTGTTAGGCTAGAGTGGCGAGCGAGATTAGGAGAGAGGCGAGCAAGAGAGGGCATAGAGTTGAGAGAGGTGAATTGTATATGTATATCGGTTAGATAATTATATATATGTAACTACTATATGTATATGTATCAATGGTTGTGTTTGTATATCTGCATAAAATTTGAATTTGTATACAATTGAATCGAGTTAATATACCATTGAATCGGGTTAAAGTATTTGTATTTGTATATCAAATCTCTCTCTCTCTCGCTTTATTCAAACATAAATTATACAAATACAATGTATAATTTGTGTTTGTATAAAGAGAGAGAGAGAAAGACAAAAGAGAACTGGGCTTCTATTTGTATAATTATAAGTGTATAGAATGGAGAAATATGTATTTGTACTTGTATACACAGTTTCTCTCGCTTTATACATACATAAACACAATTTATACATTTTTATTTGTATAAAATGAGAGAGGCGAGGGAGAAAACTGAGAGTAGCGAGTGAGAGTTAGGGGAGAGAAGCGAATGACAAGAAATTTGGTGTGAATTGAAATTAAATGAAACTGTAGCTATAACATTTATTTTAAGTTAATAATTTGCTATAATGCACAATTTTCCCTTCTATTTAATAAATAAATGAATTAGATATGAAATTCGTCAATTATTTTATTGATGATAATCCATCGTTGTTTTAGGGACAAAATTATTCATCACAAACTTGCAAGGAATATGAAATCTCAAAAGAAATTAACCTTTTTCTATTAAAATCGTCACAAATAATAAAATGGTCAATCAAATCTTGATTCAAGCAAGTTATAATACAAGAATTCACAATAATTATGTATAATGTAAATTGAAAAAATAAATAATATTGGTTATATTAAAGCTAGCTCTAGTAATTATGCTCTAATACTGATATCGAACATGACTCCAGACAAAAAAACTCTTCTAGTAATTTGTTGTCTTCCACCAGTTAGTTTCTTCATTCTTTGACACTAACACTGGTTGATACCTAACCAATTTCATTGACAATGGTGTTGAAACTTTAAGAATCTTGTCTTGTAACAACATGTTACGGCGGTCCACGGCGACTGCACTTGCCGGATTTTCAAGAACCCCGCCATGCATCTCCGTCCCCGTCACTGCAACATTATCAGTAGACATCTTTGGTGACCTTGGATAGTAGAAATCAGTAGGAAAAAAGTAATATTGAAGCCCTGCCATTAATATTAAAAACTTTGCTATATAAACTTTTTTTTGAGTGATTTTGTGTGTTGATATTATATTTTTGATTTTGTTGGGTATTTATAGAGAGAAAACATGGAAATCTGAAAAGAAGTAGGAAAAGGAAAAGGAAAAAGAAAAAGAAAGATTTGACTGCCTTGTTCATCAAGTAGTTTCCTTATTTAATTCATGTGTACCAACTTGATTTCTAAAAAAAAGTTGCATAAAATAACATTATAATCTTGCACTACAAGTACTACCTACTTTCTCGATAACATGTTTTTTATTGGACACGAAATTTAAGTAAAACTAAATTATTATTATTTAAAATTTATGATCATATAGATGTGTTTAAAAATAATCCTACTAAAAATGAAATGGAAAGTTTAAAATTTAATTATATCTAAATATAAAAAAGTATCAATCTTTCAAGGACATTTCTTTATAAAAAAAAATATATACATATTCTCTTTTAACAAGTGACAATTAGTTCAATTCACTATGACGAGACAAATATATGTATTTCGATTAGGCCCCGTATTTTATGGTAACGGTCCTATCATATATGTCTTTTTTTTTTATTTTAGGTTGAAAATTAATTTTACAATATAGATGCTTATGATCTTCGTCAATACTAACTTAAGTCTTTGAGTTTCACCAAA